TCGATATTAAGTCTGCCACTTGATCAATTTAAACGTAAAATCAAAAGTCAACTTACGGTTAAAGCATATTACACTATTGCGGAATATCTCGACGACGCCAATGTGTGAAGTTAATACTGTTGATACTCACGTAGGGTAGAATAAGACTGTTATACCGGTATTTTATATTGTAAACTGATTTCTTTGAAAAAGAGCAACTGTTGAGTTTCTTGCCGGTCTCTTCTCAACAGAAACTGCTTTCCGAACCGGTGGTACCTTACGAACCTCTATGTATAATGTTTTATGTAAAATTTGACGATTCATAAGAACGCGCAAGCGTCTAATTGAATATAGATTTTTGATTGATTGATTGAATGACACATATAATAAATTACACTTTATCTACAGGAAAACGGTCATTGTTTAACTGATTTATAGCTTTTAAATATTTGTAAACATTGATTTCACGGAGCAGAATTAAATACGTCTGTTTTGTTCAAGTACCGCCGAGAAGATCTCAAAGAGAGAAATTAGCTTAACATGTAGTTCATTATTAAAGATTTGTAACACCTCTATACCATGAACTTTCGATATGGATAGTAGAACGTACGAAGAATTGTAGTATTAATACCTTAATAAAAGTACAAAATCAACACTGCATCCGCGAAAAAGTCATAGACAATTCGGCCAAAAATATCGATATATTAAAAAAATCGATATATCGATATTTTTTCGCTATTCCCAGTTTGTCAATTGTTCATTACTCATCTTTAGGCATGGGCAACTGAAAAAAATATATCGATGATATTTATCGTATGGACATTTTTTGTCCATACGATAAATATCATCGTCATGTTATTATCGAGGGGAATAATATCGATAAATCGATTTATTGATACATTTTTTTAAATGTATTTTTTATTATTTATATTTCGAAACCATTCCAAATTCGTGGATAGTATTAGACATGAAGAAAGAAGGAATTTATTTAGAAAAAAGTATAAAAAATAAAAAATAAATATTTTTAAGAAATTTATTCGAACCAATAATCATCTGACATGGACATTAGGAGCACCCTCTGTTCAACGCACTCCGCTGTCAAACGGCTTCTGTTGTTGGGTTTTTTATTTTACAATTATATATTGCATATAATTGTAAAATATTAATCAGTCAGACTATATTGATGGCTCCAAAGTATACTGCCCTAAGTGAAAAAAATCAAATTTTACATATTGACTAATTCTTGTGGAATTTAAATATATTTCGAGATTTACACTTTCAACTTTTTCCATCCTTGATTTTCTTTTATTCAACTTTTATTATTCCACGTAAAAAAGCTTTTGTGATCTTCCGCTCATATACGAGAATCAGTAGAAATATATGTCTTTATACTAAAATATGTTATTAATTCAATAGTAACACCTAAGTAATGAGGGCGTGACCTTAGTAAGCAAGACACATAGTAATATTCGTTAAGTATGAAATTTGTAAAATATTTTTCATAAGTTACGAAAAATTATAACGAAAACCGAACTTCGTATAAAGGCAGATGGTATTTTACACCTATAGCCGAGGTTTTCAGTAAATTAATAGTTATAAAGATAAATTCCGCGATAATGAAATAAAATTTTTAACTCACTAATATAATGTTCAGTACCCGGAAGACCGAGCTTTGCTCGGTTTGTTATTTTTTTTTGGTAACTCGTGTATTTTGTAAATTACGTTTAGATACAAATTACTGAGTAATGAAATATGCATAATATTTTTCGATCTTACCGACGTAATAATAAGAAAATATGAACTGATGTTTTTCACAAAAGAAAGAACTTTAAAAAAAAGGGAAAAAATAACAAAAAATTAAAAATAAAGAAAGCAATGATCTGGAATCGAAAAAAAAGTTAAAAAATAAATGTGTAAATGATCGTGACGCGAACCACGGCCGTCTGTTTTGGGGCCGCCCGATTACCGACCGAGCTATTAAGACATTTTCTGTTGCAGCGAAATTTACCGTCATATTCGAATTATATTTTTCATTCCCTGAAAACAGAGATAAAAGGGCATTTTCTAAAAATGAAACCTAGCTAGATCGATTTTTCGCCCCCGAATCTACGCACATACTAAATTTCATGAAAATCGCTGGAGCCGTTTCCGAGATTCCGATTATATATATATATATATATATACATATATACAAGAATTGCTCGTTTAAAGGATAAGATATATTTATTAAAATGTAAATATATAATCTTATATATTTACATTTTAATATCTCTATATCTTACCTGGACATTCAGTATCATTATTTTGGTTACGAGGCTCGTCTTCGATGCTTAAATCAGTGCTGTTGTGTTTATTTATGATTTTATTAATACTTTTTTGGGCTCTTGTAAATTGCACACCTTTTTTGGTATCATTTTCGTTTAAACCAGCTAAATTATAAATTAATTTTTGCAAAAAAAAGCACGAGCATAGCTATTATAAAAGACAATCGCCAAAAACTGAGTAAAACGACTGAAGCAGTACCCGCCCCTTTGCCACATCTCTAACGCGATTATTCTACACCGTACATGGACCGATCGTTCCATATTATTTTATACGCGACTAATTTGTGCATATACGCCTATTTGCCTAAAATTTAATTTTGCATTTAACAAGAAAATTTTTTTTGTTTTTTATTTTCATAAGATATATTTTTATTTTCATAGAGTGCAAAATATACTTATTGCCCAAATAATTGGAAAAAGGTGTAAGCGGCAGTTTCGACCCATTATGTAGGAGCCATCATTGAATAAAATCCATACAAACTGACTTAAGTATCAAGCTTAATAGTTGAAGAATTTTACTAGTTGATCAACTTATATTTGAAACTTTTACCAACGATAAATCATAAAAGATTATACATATTTTATGTACAAAATTGTACTTAAGAGTTTTTAAATTTTTATTTTATATGCAATTTTTTTCTTCTTTGTTTGTTACTTTTTTGATTTGTTGAAAAAAATGATTCGAAAATTGTTAATTGTTTGTTTACTTCAGGGTTATATACGTCTCACACTGATGGTTTAATAGCATTAGTTAGTAGTATTTTCATGGTATTGAAATTGACATGAATTCGATAGTCGAAAATAAATTTCGAATATCGATATATCGGGAATAAAAATATTGACGATATTTATTTCGAAAAATATCGATATTTTTTGCCCATGCCTATTCAATACTCATATTTTTTTGATTTGTTACTGGGGTGGGGTGCTTCTCTGCTTCAAACCAAAATTACCAAAGAGTAAAGTTATATATAGGAGAAAGAGTGGCAACTCTATGATAAAAATTGGATCTATGGAAAGTGCTGCCGCCTGGAGTTTGGTTGAGTAACTTCATCTATACATACATTGACAGTTTTTAGGCCAATGTGTGTATACTTATTATGCCTACCTATACATATTATATGCCTCTATATTATGTGATTTCCTATTCACCAAACAAACTGAAATGCTTATTTCTCTAGTAAAGACTATAACACAAGGTTTTTAAGATATTTTAATAACTGGTACGGAATTTTTTAAATATGCTAAATAATTGAAATTGTCTACTAAAGGTAGCAAAGCAAAGGATATTTTCCTTCCATTTTTGAAAATGGCCCCCCTTAGCTTTATCCTGGAAGTTTTCTCAAATTGAAACACAATACGCATTATAGAAGTACTATTGGGCTCTAGGAAAAAAAATATTATTGTTTATATTACATTGATTGAAAATTTTCATTTATATAGATGTGTACATTTTTTCTATTACAACCATGACAACAAGTTTATATCTGTTCTTGTAATTGGGGTTTGAGCATAATGGGAAAAAATAACTATAGTGCAAAATTAAATAAATAATTTTATTTTTTATCTTTAGAACAGTCAATTTGAACAGTAATTCTATTGTTTCCATTATAAACAAGTTTTCCTTCTAGTATTCTATTTACAGATCTGCACCAACTATAAACAATTATATTAATGGATATAACAATATAACATTTCTTTAAATTTTCCTTATGAGTTTCACAATCCTTGAAGGCAAAATAAGTAAAAATGAGAGATGAAAGCTTTCTTTTATATATTTTTTTATGACAATCATCATTTAAAAATGCAATTGTTATTTATTGTATTTCTTGAAAACAAGCCACTAAACATTCAGCTGAATAGCAAAGCCTTTTTTTATTTTGACTTTATTCTTTGGCCTTAATATATTTATACAATCCATTGCCAGTATTGCTTGTCCTTACATTTTTTGCATCCTTTGAGTACTTTTTGTAAACGTTTCATCAAGGCCCACCCATAGACATAAGTTCTCTGATCAGTCCTGGAATCTAAAACATTTCTTGTTCTTTTCATAATAGTCAGAGGCTGATCAATAACAATATTTTGGGATTTAAAGGAAGCCTTATTAAATTATTTATTCTTAATAAAAGAAGAGAGTGGCTGCAAACAATTGTTTAAATCTCCTTCACAATTTGAATGAATCAAGTGATTGCTACTGAAATTATTTCATAAAAGTGTTTTAAATGCTCCCTCAAATCCCAAACAGTTAGGTGCAATATTCTGAGCAACCAAACTGCGAATACTTCCAAAGAAGTTTTCTAGTAGGTCTTGATTAAAATTGCGTGTTAGTATGGCGTCAAAGGAATATTTTTTAAACAATAATTGCCTCAATGTTTTTTGATGATGTTTGATGATTGTTCTCATTAAATTATTTACAGTTGGTATTTTAATTAGATTTTTCAATTTTCTCCCCATCACTTTAATTATGTAATTTTATATATTTTACAATTATATAATTTTAATATTTTTTTGATGGTAAAGTGAAATGCTTACACATTAATTTGTAACTTTTAGGGCTTTTCTTGTACAAAGAGAGAGTCAATATTTTTTTGTCAAGAGTGAATCTACACCCTTTTTTTCTTCAGTCCTTCCATGAATTGCATCCTGGTTAATAGCTTTGCTGACTCCAACATGTTCTGAGATAATTTTTCAAAATCACTTTTTAATGATGACTTCTGTACCTGCCCAAGTGACTTGAGACTTGACTTGTTGGTGCAATGTTCTTATTTCACTTTGCATCTTTCTTACTTTTCTTGCACACCAAGTCTTAGAGGTTTTGTGCAGATACTCGAACATTTTATCTGAAAGATTATATCAAGAATTAATACATTTAAATAGAATTAAGATTTAATGACACAACAATGTTTTAATATGTATTAACATGTAACAAGTATCCAGCTATGAAGATTATTTATTAACCATATCTGTGACAAATTGAATTCATGGAAACTAAGGTGATGCATTTACATAAGCACTAGAAAAGTCACAATTAGTGGAATGGTTGATTGATCGCAATTTTACATACAAAAAATAGAACCCTTATAGAAGTGATTAACTATCTTTTCAGTGTCTCCATCTTTTAACAACTTATTTTCTCTAAATCTACGATGACCAATTAAGATTTTTAACACTGATTGTATTGTGTATTGAGTATTAGTTAGTCAAACATAATGAAAATACATGGTTAAAAAAAATTAAAAATATTTTGGCACTATACCCAAATTTGTCACTTATTTTAAGTTATTACATAAATATATAAATAAATAAGTTATTTCTTTGCCTAGGCTAATCTTAAATTCATTTTTATATCTTAAGGAAATTGTTTTGCAATATCCAAGTACCTTCGGTTATTTCTACTTCATAATTATAGTTTGGCTAGTTTCTCTATGGATTAAAAATATCTTTTGTTAAAAACGCGTTTGCCTCTATTGTTAACAATTACCGTACATAATTATAATTCCTAGAAACTTGTAAACTTATTCTTTTTAAGAAATAAATATAGAAAATTGTATTACCTGCACCAAAATTATTTGAAGATTTTTGATCATCATGGTTCTCTTTATTTGAAGTTGTAGAACTAGATGGCATTTGACATTCAGTGGGGCCACCTAGTGACACTTTACATAGAGAAGTTCCAGGAATATTTGTTATATTAGCCAAAGGTTTAGATTGTGACTATTCTCTTCTTGGACAGGAGGAACTATGGTCAATTTCAACAAATGTTAATAGTGATTGCTGCACACCTGCAAAATAAACCATTAAAATATTTTTATTTATTTTATAATATTATTGTTGATATCATAGTTACTAGTTTAAGCAGACTTAGAACACAATACTATAGTTCATCTCATAGAGTACAACCCGTTCAAGAGAAACTGACATACAGATGTATGTGATTCAGCTAGTGCTGGCTTGGCCAGGTAAAAACCTGTCGTAGTGTGTTGTCCTACCCATCCAATATTAACCGAAATTATCCACCCAAAATTATCTGGAACTTTTATATTGGATTTTGTTAATGTTTCAGATATACAATATTATGGTTATGGCTAAGAAGGCCTATAGCAACCTTGTTATGGGCCAATATCAATGTACTGAGCCAATAGATGTCTGCAATTATTTAAAATTTATAAAGTTAGTAGACTTTTAATGTCAAAATTTTAAAAAAATGTTTTAATGTCACAAACAAATAGAAAGTCAGAATTATTTAATAACATATTGAATCAAATTTCGAATCAAAAATCAATGTTACACACATTACAATATTTACAAAAATGTTTTAAATATTTCAAACCATTTGTTTCTTTATCATTATTGTCACGATATCATATGGACCGCCAACTGCCTTAGAAGAAGAAGAGAAGAATCAAATTTCACTTACGATTCAAATTAATGGTTGGTATTGATTGTTGACCAACTAAGACGACCTCCGGTAGTCTTATACATTGAATCAAAATGTTTATCACATAACCTTTTATTTGCATATATTTTCTTAGGATCAGTTTCTATATGTTTGTCTCCAATAGCTGACACCCAGGCAGTGAATAAATCACGACGCTTCTCAGGATTTGGAAATCTGTGTTGGGGTACACCGTGTGCAACTTAAATAGGAAACATTTAATTAGTATAAAGAATATATATTAATGTATAAATAGGTATTTTGAAATAATGATAGTTGAAAGCCTCACCTAAAGCATCACAACCAAAAATACAATATTTTTTCGGAGGTTCACTCATCTTAACAATAGAACGAAGTTCAACAAAATTACCAATTATGAACAACAAAATTCAACAAAACAATGTAACGATAAACAAGAATATTAATAACAAACAGAAAGATGACGGTTTTAACAAAATAAGAAAATTTTACTGAGTTACAGTTAACCAAAAGTTAACCTCTAAATGCATCAAACATCAACAACACGAATGCAGCAAAAGATGATTGATAATGAATGAAGTTGAAGTTTGACAAGCTCAAGATAGGACAAAATGGCGGCTAAACTTTGATTGTTTCCACCAAACTCCAGATGTCGCTGTCGAACATAAAATTTGACATTGTTCTAAGTGAGCCCCCCCTGGTGATTACAATCTCTTTGCTCTGCTTCTTCTTCTGCCAGTCAGTAATTTGTAGTAATTCACACGGAAAAATTGTCCACGTTTTATTAATTAGATTTTTAAAAAATGGTGTATGTTACCGCAGGTAATTGGTTATATATTGTTCTGTAAGCAATATCAGTTAAGTAATAGCTTTAAGCTACATTGTTTATCAGTTTTTAGAATTCGTGGGTGGAGGACATAACGGGCACTTTTAGGATTTGCTTAATTATTACCTATACACTCTTAATTCCTTTTTGATATAGCAAAAGTGAAATAAATTTTAAGGGAATTTTTAGGAAAATTAACTACAAATTAATTATTTCCTTGAATTTTGTAGATGGAACCGTTGTCGAGAAGACGCCATTTAGCGTATTTGGATGGTTCTGGGGCATTTTAAATTTCTTTTACCTACTGTGAGTTTTTATCTTTCTTTTTTCTTAATATTTTTAATATAGACGGACAATACATTATAAATAATAATAACAATACCCTAGAAAAAAACAAGCGAAATAAACTTAGAATTAGGGATATTCAATTTACATCTATTAATCGAATTCAATCGTAGTTTACAATGCGATGCATAGATTCGAACCAAGGTTTTGAGAACTGTATTAATTTACTTGATGTATTAACATATTTTCATTAAACATTAAATCAATGATAAGTAGCTAAAGATATGATTTTGTTTAATAATTACACAAGAGTATTCTCATACATTACCTTTTTTTAATAAGACTGCCCACAAAAAGCAGTTTCATGTTTTCAGAATTCATATTAATGTCTATGTATGTGTGAGTGAGTGTCAACATTTATGAAGTATAGTTAGTCTTTTCATTATTAATTAATATATGCAAATAAACATTCACTTAAAAGAATTAAAATAATGATAGGAAGTATGCTATAATATTCAACTTCCATGTAAAAACGAGCTAATCATTACAATCGGGAGACCTCTAAATAAAAAAGTAGTCAACAAAACGGTCCACCTGCTTGTTTATTTTTTAATTAATTTTTGACATGGCAGTTGCATTTTCATTTTGTTTTTATTTTGTAAACAAATGAATGAGCGATTTCTTCTTTTGATTGAATTCCTTTTTTCTCAATAACTTAGATTCCTTGTAGGAAAAATAGATGATTAAAACATTATTACAGCTTTGTGTTAGTGATGTTAAAAAAAGGATTTGATTTTGACAAAACATCAATTTTTCTATTTGTTCTAGTAGAGTTAGACATGTGTTCATCATTTATTGTCGCGGTTAAAAATTTACATTCTTTAAACATTGTTATTTACGGAGTTATTAAATTTTCCAAAACAACGAATTTTAGAACATCCTTACATATAAAACTTACTGTTCATTTGTAAAGGTCACAAAGATTACGAATGGGTTGAATGAATTTGAAAGAGACAAAACATACTGTTAGAATGAGAGGCTTGTAATGCGATGCTGTGGCAACGAATGAAAGTCTCTGAATATATGAATCAGTCAGTTGTATAGGTGTTACAAATTTTGTTTCCTTTTTACTTAATTAATTTGTTTGAAAAGAATTTTTAATGATGAATTTTTTGTTAATGATAATATTTTTTTATGATTATTGGCAAGTAGCGTTAGACGTGTGTTAATTTATTGTTGCTATTGTAAAGACACGCTGTATATATATGATGGATAATTTATACATGGTGGCTTTTCTAAAGGTTCCTTAATTCATCAGGGAGGATACATTCATTTGAACTTATCTCAAAAAGTGCGTGATTTATGAGCAACTCATTTATTTTACGCGTGATCATTCATAACTAACACGCACACAAGTTCGTTTCAAAAGTATACAACGCATTTATGAATGACTACCGCATTGTCAACAAGTTCGGTTTTTTAGGGAATGGAATGGCAATATAAAAAAAGTTTGTTTTAATTTCAATAAATGATTAAACTACCGAGTCTGAACCTTCTGTGTGAATTTGGGCACCTTTAGAAAAGCCACCCTGTTTAAACTATCCATCATGTTTTTTTGTGTAACCTTATGTTATGTTTAATTTCGTAAATTTGGGCATTTTTGATATACAATTCACAATAATCTATTTTAATGTAAATTATTACAGTATTCAAACGCTGATTAATCCAAACTACAGCAGACATGGTGATAAATATGTTAGAGACTTCCGTCCCCCAGGTAGCGGGTGAGTATGCAACATTCAACGAAACCAAATTTCAAACAATTTATATAAAAGAATACAGAGCAATATATCAAGTTTACACATTTTAACATTAACTGAACATCAAAATGTTATAGTTAGACAGATAAGAAAAGTGTGGGTGTCGGCGTTTTTGATAAATATCATTACATTATAAATGAGATTGTTGCGTTTCCTTTTATTAATAATTATTAGCAAATTAAAACACAAAATTGGCTAATTGTTTAGTTTGCAAGCCAATTTAGTAAAATTGTCTTTAAACACCATCATAGGTCACAAAAATTATTTAATTTGTGTGGAAATCGGGTGAGCCTCTCGGTTTCTGTTGTTTGCCGCTTTTTTCCCATAAAAAATATTGTGGTATAATATTTTCTTTTTGAGATGTCTATGACAATAGTACAACAATATACAATTTCTTATATGGTTAATTTTTCTTATACCCACAAGATGTTGTTAGAACACACATAGTGTCCTAATAACATCTTGTGGGTATAAACTATAAATATAAGTTTAAAATTTCAAATGAAATAAATTGCTTTGAGTTTATAATTTAGTAGCTATCGTAATTGCCATTTAATGTAAGTTTCTTCTGTACATTTCAGACCCCCCAAACCTCCGAGCAAAAAATTCGGAGGATTTGGGCCATCTGATTCAGGACCTTCCCCTCCACCAATGGGGGGATGTGGCTGCGGTGGATAAATCTGATTCCATTTTTTTTTATATTCAAGCATACTGACATAAAAATTTGAATATCTTTTCATGGTCTAGTAGTTCCAGTGTTCTTTAACAGTAGTTTTAACAAATAATTGATTAATATTATATATATATATATATATATATATTAAATTATATATAATATATATATATTATATATATCATATATAAATTCTATTTGGTAATTTTAAATTGTATAACAGCTATCAATATTCATGTTTGATTTTTTTGAAATTATCTCATATTAATTAAGGCTGGCTTTATATTAGAAAAATTGATGTTAGCATAATTGTCAAAACTTTAAAATTTAATAATTTTAATTACATTTTATAGTAAATAAAATTACATTTGTATTTGTTTGAACATTATTTTGTAGATTATGTTATAATGTATTACTAGTATTACTAGTAATACATTATAACATAGGATATTACTCGTACTACATTTATTATACTTATTAATTAAAATTGTTAAAGGGGAGACTTACACATTCTTTTTCTTGTTTTTTTTTTTTACATTAATACCGACTAGTTAAGGTCCTCAGTCTCGGTTCCAGTCATTCTGGGCTAGTCAGGCAGAGTTTTCGGCCTATAATCGCTGAGAATATCTGCCATTACCGAGACCTCTCGTGGCCCAGTATTTGGCAAATTATTTCGTTTTATATTTAGAGCTTATCGAAAGGAGAGAGTATTGTAGAAATTAATAGTGAACAATGGGATTGTCTAAACAATTTTACATTTTTACTGGACTCTTAATGCGTGTGAAGTGGATGCGGTGTATATTCAGGTTGTCCTGTTCCACTTACTAAGTTGGACTAATCGAGGACTATTACTTGGACTATGTTTTCCAATAAATAACACTCGGACTATTAAGCAAACTGATTTAATTTAGCGGAAGATAATCACAATACATTGACTAGTCAAACACAGGTAAAGAGAGAGAGTACGAGTATGAGTATAAGTATGACTATGAGTGAATACATTACAAATGATGCGAGCTATTTATACTAAAAAGGGTAATCCTTACTAACATCACAAAGGCGAAAGTTTGTATGTATGGATAGATGTTCACGCAAATATTATTGAACGGATTTTAATAAATATTACAATAATATAGCTTACACATCAGAACAAGACATAGGCTATAATTTATATACAATTTCAATGCAGTCTATCTCCTAGTCTTAATGTTACACCTTCAGCTTATTCTACGCAGACGTAGTCGCGGGGAGCAGCTAGTTAATTGCAATTTTGACTCCCACTTGAGAATGCGTGCGCGCAGTGGGGGCTAAATTATGATGGCCGCTTAACTAAAAACAAAAGGCTCGTGCTCGGCCATCTTGCGATAATTAGCTAATACAATAGATGCACCAGCCGCCATACTGTCGCATCACCGAGTGGGTGGAGCTACTGTGCGTTAAAAAATGTTGATTCGTGCAACAGTAACTACGTCGTGAAATTCGATAGCCAATAGTAGCTTCGCCGCGGACGTCGACAGCACTCCGTCGTAAAAAGAAGGATCGTTGTAGCGGTCGAGTTGACTAGCATGCTACATTATTCCCCCACCGAGACCGTTACTACGGGCGGTAGTAATCAGGAAATTGGACTACTCGTCCACTTCTAGTCTTCTTGATCGTGTTTCGATGTTGGGCGGTCTGGTGATCCTGTTTGACAACTGCATCTTCCCTTGTGATAAAGGCTGGTTTAAGGCGATCAATACTGACTCGTTGCATCTTCCCTTGCACATCGATATCGAAGGTCTTCTCGTTGCGACATAGAACCTTGTAGGGGCCTAGGTAAGGTGCTTGTAGAGATTTACGCATTGGACCTAGGCGTAGGAAGACATGGGTTGCCGTGTGCAGCTCTTTTGGTACATAAAAAATTCTGCTGGTACTGGTGTGCCAGGATGTTGGTTGGGGTGTTAGTTTTGACATATGTGCGCGGAGTCTACTTACTAGGCTGGTTACGTCTACTGCATCGTCTGAAGTGGTGGTTAGGAACTGTCCAGGAAGACGTAGCGGCTCACCATAGACTACTTCTGCAGCTGATGCCTCGATGTCATCTTTCCATGCACTGCGGATTCCTAATAGGACCCATGGTAAGACTTCAGTCCAATTTGAGTTTGAATGGCAGGTGATGGCGGCCTTCAGCTGGCGATGCAGCCGTTCAACTAGGCCGTTTGCTGCAGGATGATATGCTGTGGTGACATGATGATTTGCGCCAACCAGCGCCGCGAGCTCCTTAAATGTGTGCGACTCGAACTGTCTCCCACGATCGGTGGTTATGTGCTCTGGGCATCCAAAGCGAGATATCCACCCAGTAGTGAGGGCGGTTGCGCAGGTCTCTGCAGTGATGTCTGGTAGAGGGAACGCCTCAGGCCAACGCGTGACGCGGTCGACGATCGTGAGGCAGTACCCGTTTCCTGAAGACAAAGGTAAGGGACCAATGATATCAAGGTGTATGTGGCGAAAACGACCTGATGGTGTTTGAAACGCCTTGAGTGGAGCAGATGTATGCCTGGTAATTTTACTTCTCTGGCATTGTTGACATTCTTTTGCCCATTGTCGACAGTCTTTTCTTATTCCAGGCCAAACATAGCTCTGCGTTAACAAGCGAACACTAGCTTTTCCTCCCGGATGACTCAGGCCATGCAGTGTGTCGAATACTTGCTTGCGGAAGGCTTTGGTAATAAACGGACGAGGGCTTACCGAGACATCGCAGTATACCTCACAACGCGTTTCTGGTAGCCTTACTTTCTGCAGTATGAGACTGGATCCATTCTTCAGCAGGTTTTGAAGTTCAGCGTCTGTTTTCTGGTCATTGGCCAAGGACTGGTAATCTATGGGCAAATGTATTTCATTAATTCTAGACAAGGTATCTGCTACTGTGTTGTCCTTCCCTGCTATGTACCTGATGTCAGTGGTAAATTGACTTATATAGTCCAGATACCTAAACTGACGAGGGGAACAATTTTCACGATTTTTCGTAAAAGCGAAAGACAACGGTTTGTGGTCTGTCATGACAGAGAATGTTCGCGCTTCCACCATGTGCCTGAAATAATGGATTGCGTTGTAAATGGCAAGTAATTCTCTATCATATGGGCTGTACTTCTTCTGTGATGGACTTAGCTTCCTGGAGAAGAAAGCTAGGGGTTGCCACAGTTTACCTCTTTTCTGTTGTAAAACTGCCCCTATTGCTGAGTCCGATGCGTCAGTCATAATAGATAGCTCTGCCCGTGAATCTGGATATGCCAACATGGTTGCATTTGACAGATCTTGTTTGCACTTTTGAAATGCATCATGTAGTTCTGAAGTCATCTGGATCTGCTGTGAACCTTTGGTCTTTGGACCAGCTAAAAGAGCGTTGAGTGGTGCTTGTGTTGCAGCTGCGGATGGAATGAAGCGTCGATAAAAATTCATCATTCCTAAGAAACGTCTTAACTCTTTAATGGTCTTGGGTTCAGGGAAATCCTGTATGGCTTGAACTTTAGAAGTGGTAGGTTGAATACCTGCTGCTGAAATTTTGTAACCTAAAAAATTCACTTCAGGTTTTTCAAATACGCATTTGTTGGTATTTATCAGAACACCATATTCTGATAGTCTTTTGAACAGTGTTCTGAGATGCATTTGGTGCTGAGTACTGTCACTGCTGAATACTAATATGTCGTCGATGTATCCGTAGCAAAAATCTAGTCCACGAAGAACTTCGTCCATGAAGCGTTGGAATGTTTGCGACGCGTTTCTCAAGCCATAACTCATGAACGGAAATTCGTATAGGCCGAAAGGTGTGGTGATTGCAGTTTTGGGTATGTCCTCTTCATAGACAGGTATTTGATTGTAGGCCTTCGTTAAATCAATTGTTGAATAAATGGTGCTACCTGTTAAATGATGCGCGAAGTCCTGTATGTGCCTTACGGGGTATCTGTCAGGGATTGTTCGTGCGTTAAGCAATCTATAATCCCCACATGGACGCCAACCATCGCTTTTCTTGCGAACCAGATGAAGTGGCGACGACCAAGCGCTTTCTGAGGTGCGCGCTGTGCCATTCTGCAGCATTTCGTCGAACTCTTGCTTCGCCACTTTAAGACGTTCTGGGTCTAAGCGACGTGGTCGACTGGATACCGGTGGGCCAGGAGTGGTGCGAATATGGTGCACTGTGTTATGCTTAGGAGTAATCGGCATACCTGAAGGTCGAGTTATGTCCGGAAACTCCCGGAGTATTTGATGATACTCGCCAATGTCGGTGGTAGTGCGCACGGATGATATAGCGTCTGAAGAACCCTGATCTGGTACTGTAACAGCAAGTGAAGTGACGTTGTCAATAAGGCGATGGTGTCGGCAATCGACTAACAGGTTGTAATAGCCTAAAAAATCGACGCCGATGATAGGCTTTGAAACGTCAGCAACGATAAAACGCCAGGTAAATGCGCGCCGTAAACCAAGGTCCAATGTCAGTGGTATGTACCCGTATGTGGCGATGATCGTTCCGTTGGCTGCGAACAACTCATACTTAGTTTTCGTACGTGGCTCCCGAACAGCGGATCGTGGAAAAAACACACAGGTCTGAACCTGTATCTATAAGATATTGAATCTTTGTTTTGCGATCCGTGATGAACAGGCGGCTTGTTGTACTTAGGCAGTCGGTTGCCGCCACTAATGGCTGCCCTGGTAGTTTAACGCTGTCGCCTTTTGCTTGTAGCTACATGGTGTTTGACATTTTTTTGCTTGATCTCCAAACATATAGTGAAACCAGCAATGGGGATGACTACGAGGTCGATTGCGGGATCGAGAATGATTATGATGCTTTTTATTTCGACTTCTAGATCGTGAGCGTGATCTTCTATGAATTTCCATGCTCTCCAGCCTTCGACTCAGTTCTGCAATCCGTTTTGTTAGTAAATCAACCGAAGTGTCTGATATAGTAGCGGTTGAAGATGCAGGATTAGTACTTGCACTTGCTACTTGCCCGGTTACTGGAACGATG